CCCCCAAAACCCCAAAACCCCAAAACCCCAAAAATATAAAATATTAAACACATGGAACTTTCGGGTGGCGCTCCAAAGATCTCATTCTTCGAGATGGTAGCCTCAGATTCATTATCAAGCTACTTTGAAGGAGGATTCAAATATATTTATCAAGTATTTACAAACCATTATGACAGGCTAGTCCCAATATCATATTATTCAGATGAAGCTTACTTTATCTTTGATATGCTTTTGCAGTCTTATTATCTCCACAAGAACAGTAGTTCATATGCTGAGAACTTCTTTTCATTCACAAGATCTGCGGTTTCCTTCACCAACAATCGACTAAAGCAGTACTCAACTAAACACAAGGTGATAACGCTCTTCTTTGAGGTAATTCTGCCTTATCTAAGATTGAAAGTTCATAAATGGTATTTGTCAAAATAAAGGAGATGCAAACTTCCAATATAAAAAGTACTTGAAGATAATTCCTCTAACTAATGGACTTTATGCCTTCATAGACTTTTTGTATAAACTGAAGTACCTCTTACAGCAAGATTTCAAGTTCTTCAAGCCATATCTCCATTTATGCAATTTCCTTATCCGACGGAAGAATATGTTCGAGCTCAGAACTGAGGAAGAGAAGTATTCCAACAAAGTAGTGGGAGTTTTGAGCAAATATAATGTCTTTATCATGTTCATCTTCATTAAATACTGACAATGGTACTTCAGCCAAGGTAACTCTGGAAGTCAGAGTAGCTCCCAATCACAAGGAGAGGAAATTTGAGAGCCTCCTCCAAGAGCAAAGCCTTCAAAAGGTTGCCCTCTCTGCCAAAAATCTCCTATAGAAAATCCTTGAGCACTTGAGACTTCAGGATATGTGTTCTGTTTTGTCTGAATTCAAGATTACGTTGAAAAGAACCAGAGATGTCCTATTACTGGGACTAGAACATTTGACTCAAACATCAGGAAGATTTATAAATAACGTCATCTTATCAATATCTATGATTGAGAATGGGGTTTTGGGGTTTTGGGGTTTTGGGGTTTTGGGG